GCCTTGCGGAGGGGCGCGGCCGCCGGCAGCGGCGACCACCCTGCCGAGGCGCCTGCGCCTGGGTTTTTCAAAGCCAGCCAGAGCAGGGTGATCTCTGCGAGGGAGGCTCCGACTCCCTGAGCACCAACGGCGCTCGCTCGAAGCTCGGGGACGCTTCGGGCAAGGTGCTCGTGCTGTATCGAGAGCGCATGGACTGTAGTCCGTCGCAGCAGCACACCCGAACTCAGGCTGAGCAGCCTGCCTAGTAGGCCGGCCCATTGCGCGCCGCCGCCGCCGGCATTGCTTGCCACAGGCATGCGCGAGGTGTCGGCCTGCGTCGCTAGCGTCTGGATTGCCCGGTCAATGTCTCCGCGAGCGAGCGATGCGGCGGTGGCGTCGGGGTCGTCGTGCGGGGCAAGCAAAAGGCTGAGCTCTTCGATTGAAACGCGCTGCTTGACGAGGTCGAGTTTAGTTGACGTGCAGGTCGCGCGCTCGATGCGAGCAGGGAGGAGCGGGCCGACCGACCCAAAGAGCAGCTGGAGCGCCCGCGGCGTGACGCGGCACTCTCCAGAGATAGAGACGACGCAGCCGCGCGTCAGGCGCTTCGTGCCACCGCGAAAGAAGGGCGAAAGCGCGGCTTCGAGCGCCGAGTCCATCTTCGAGAACACAGTTAGTTATGGGTTTAAAGACTGTGAACGGCGCCTTGGAATATCTGACTGTCACTCACAACAACAACAACAACATGTACATGTCACTGCGAGAATTCGGGGTTGTGCGTTTATGTGAACTCTCCGGGGATCTCGAGTTGCGGAGCGCTCTACGAACGAACTCTGTTCACAGCCTTGTTATTGAGAAGAAAATACCTCCAAGGAGGACGAGCGCTACTTCGGCCCGCCGACACGCGACGCCAGGGCCTTCGCTGGGGGCGTCCGCGCGCAACTGCGGAGCTCGTGGCCCAAGGAGACGCTCCCCGATAACGAGGCGCGCGTGCTGCAGTGGGAGGCGACTTACGAGTCGGAGGCCACGGGGCGGCGCGAGCGGAAGGCGCGCTTCCAGGCGAACGGAGAGGCCGACCTGACCGCGCCGACCCGCCAAGGCAAAGGCGTGAAGCCGCCGAGGCTGGTCGTACGCCGCAATGCCGCCGGCCGCGAATACGTCGCGAGCGTGCGCGACGCGAGCTGGCCGCAGCAGTGGCCGGCGGCGCCATGGGGGCGGAGCGGGCGGGCGGGTCGGGCAGCTGTCTGCCCCTTGAGGCCGCGGCGCAG